ATGAAAGATCTATTTTAGAGACACACATATCTATTCGGTTTTTTTTTTATATGATTTCATTCGTCGGAGAGAAAGTCAAATTTATCGCGATGGTTAGTTAGTTAATCGTCGTCGTGTATAATTGCGGATTATCGTAATATCGTTGATTCTAAATGATATTTTGAAATTGGTGAGCGGCTGTAAAGAACGTTCAACTCCCCCAGCACATTGTGTGTCCCGTGTTTCAAGAGGAACGCGCAAAAATGCGAGAAGAAAAGTGATATATATGTGTATAGAACAATTAATTTTTCTGTTCTCAGTGATCGATATATATATACGCCAGACAAAATGTTTTTTTTCTTTCCTTCTTTTTTTTTTTTTTTTTTTTTATTTAAAGTTGTTCGAAAGAAGAAAAAAAAAATAATAGACTGAGTCGTTTGGTATTATTCGTCGATGCTTCTGGGATAATATGCACCTTACACGAGCTTTTTGCTTCGAAGCTTTCACAAGCGAATGAGAAACCATTCCAACTGATGTAGAGATCAGATTACCAAGCAACACTTTGATCGATAAATACAAGGCGATGTAGGAGCGAGAGAAAGAGCGAGCGAGAGAGAAGAAATGAAAACATAAAGCATCACAGAAACACATACAGCGTGACAGAGAGATGACATTATACATTTTTAAATAGAGAATACGCTACGTACACGCTACACGTGGTGGTGGTACGTCTGTCGCGCGACGAGATGGTCCAGGAAGCAGCATGCTTATTTAGAGGACTCCAATATAGAGATTCGAGGGCCAGCTCGTCCCTGCACCAGTCGTACCGGTACAGAACGTAGAAACATTATACATACGTTTTCTTTTTCTTTTTTTTTTCCAAGAATATTATTACTTATAAATACATCATTATATATATATAAAGAGAGAACGAGAGAGCGAGCGAGAGAATTTTTGACGAGTGAAGAGGAAACTACTCTAAATGAAGAAGAGAGAGTTGTTCTTATATAGTTTTAATTGTGAAGAGAGGCAAATTAATGCGAGGATTCATGAACCAATATCTACCCACTTAATTACCAACTAGCCGGCGAACATGAAGCCTCCTTTTTCCCCTTCCCCTCTTCCCACGAGAAAAGTATGTGGGTCCTGATGCTGTGGGATTACAAACAAACAAAAAAAAGAAAC